CATAATTCAAATGTCCCTTACTATTAAAAATTTTCATTTCTATATTAAGGAATAAAAAAAAACTACCTATAAAGATTCTTTCTGGAATTATGTCCCTATTAAAGTAAAGAACTAGGAATTATGTCCTCTAGGGGATGTGGACGTAAAGGGACGTAAATTTTATATGCTAAATACTTTAGGGATCCATCTTTACCTATGGCAATTCTCCTTCATAACTTTGTCTTTATGCATTTCTTATTATCTATATGTCATTATTATTATTTTTTCATTATTCCTTATTATCACAAATTTAATTCTAAAGTTATACTTAAGCAAAATTATTAAATTTAATGCTTTTTTTCAACCAAATCTTCTCAACTATCTATTACTTGATATACAATACTGCACTAATCAACTTTCTATAAAAATTCAATTATTTTCAAAAATTAAAATCAGTTCTATCTTTTCAAATAATCAATATATATTCAACAATTAATTAAATACTAATAACTCAATATAACAATAATCAAACTAGCTCAAACCTGTTTATAACAATTACAAAAATTTTATACTACAATACCCCAATAGCTTTTCTAATCAATATATCAATAACCCAATATTATAGTTATATAAAAATATTAGACTTTTCATATGTTTTACTTAGCCTTTAAACTGTTGCCATATAGTTTCACAGATTCAAATAACAAAATCAAAACCCAATCAATAATATATTATCTCTAAAAGCTGTCATTATAATTTTATGGGTTCAGACAATATAACCAAAATTCAAGTTAATAAAATTATTACTAATAATTATCTTAACTTAGTTATTTATAAATAAGTATTAGCCATTTATAAACTATTACAAATTTCTTTTCACTTATAATGTTTTTTAGAAATTAATAGTTATACACACCCCTACAGTAAATTACCGGGATGGATTATCGCGATTGGTTGATCGTGATAAAAAAAATTTTTTTAAATCATTTTTTCTTCTTAATTTTTGTTGTGTATCCAAAAATTTTTTTTTCGTATTACTCTCTTCATTTCACAGTTTTTTGTCATACTAAAAATGCGGAGTTTCGAGCTAAGCCCCCAACAACATGAACAAATAATCAGCACACATCTTTCAAGTACTAAAGGCAAAATTATTTCCTCTCAACTTGATATACCTTCCTTAACCGTTTATGACACAATAAATCACTATAAAAAAAATGGTTCCCCTCACCCTAATACGTGTCCTGGACGACCAAAATCCCTTTCTGACCATGATTAGTGAATAGTATGACGTTATGTTCAAAAAGATCGTTTTGTGCCCCTAGGCAACATTTCGAATAACATAAACACCCATCTCACCTCAACATTTCATGCAAATACTATTCGAAACTACTTATACGAAATGGGACTAGGAAGTTGTACAGTATGAAAAAAGCCTCTTTTATCAAATAAACAACATTTAGCTCGACTTAATTGGTGCAGAACCAAATGTGACTGGAATGAGGAATGGAAACGAATTGTGTGATCTGATGAATCACGATTCGCCTTATTCGAGTTTGACGGATGAGTACGAGTTTGGCGCAAAGTTGGGGAAGAATACAATATAGACCATACATGTGGTCGTATTACTATAAAAGGAAATTTGATCGACAATACGATTCCGAATTAAATACGAAT